GCCAACTGTTGGAAAAACGACCACGTCTGCTAGCGTGAAAGATGGTCCTGCCAGGTAAGAGCCTGAGCCCAGCTTGAAAAAACAAAAAACAAAAATACAGTTGGAACAAATCAAAGCAGGCCGAGTCTGTCTGAGTTTGTGTGTTCATGCACATACCTTCTGCAGGTAACTCTCCCAGAGTTTGAGTTCAGTGACCAGAGCTTCTTTGTTCCTCTTCAGAGCCGACTCATGTCTCTCACCTTCAGGGACATACCAGTCATAGTAGATAACTGCATCTGAGAAAACACAAAACGTTATATGTAAAATATTAGCGTTACAGATGCAAAATGTTACCACTAGATGTCAGATTGCAACTGAAAACTGTTCTCAGACCCCTCCCAATTCAAGTGCATAATCGTCCCTATGGTGGCCGCTGTAGGACAAAAATACTTCAGTGAGCCGACAGAGATCATAATAATTACATTTAGACTGTTTCACATCAGAGCTACAGCACTGTTTCTAGTGCTGTTTGTGTAACAAAAGATTGTTGTGCACACTTGACTTTAACATATTCACATAATATCAGCACTTAGTGATAAATCAGGAAATTTAAAAAAACATATGATCAATGAAATACACTACTCAAAAATTACAGGAACACTTTGAAAACACCTCAGTCTCAATGGGAAAAACATGCTTGATATCTACACTGATAGGGAGGAAAATGTGTCAGAAATTAAAATCACCAAGCTACAAAGGGCTGAATTCAAAGATGCCCTGAAAAGCAAAGTGAAAACGACGATGTAGCAGGTTAGTCCATTTTACTGAAATGTCAAAGCAGCAACTCAAAATGGTGTGCAGAGGTGCTGAAATGGATTTAGGTCAGATGAGTGTGAGGGCAAGCTGATGTATCAATTCCTTCATCCTCCATGAACTCCCTGCATACTCTCATCATATGAGGCCGGGCACAGTTGTGCTTCTCTAGACCCTTTCCACGTCTGTTACACGTGCTCAGGGTGAACCTGCTCTCATCTGTGAAAAGCACAGAGCACCAGTGATGAACCTGCCAATTCTGCTAGTCTATGGCAAAAGCAAATCTGGCTCCATGGCGTCAGGCAGTGAGGACAGGGGCCACCCACATGAAGTCAGTTTCTGATTGTTTAGTCAGACATTCATGCCAGTGTCCTGCTGGAGGTCATATTCAAGCTCTGGCAGTGTTTGCCCTGTTCCTTCTTGCACAAAGGAGCAGATACTGGTCCTGTTGATGGGTTAAGGACCATCTACAGCCTTGTACAGGCCTCCTACAGCAACTTCCTGTCTCCTGGAATCTCCTCCATGCTCTTGAGATTGTGCTGGGAGACACAGCAAACCTTCTGTCAATGTTTTGCATTGATGTGCTATCCTGGAGGAGTTGGGCTACCTCTAGGGTCCAGGTATCAGCTCATACTAGCAGTAGTGATAATGACCCCAGCGAAATGCAAAACTAGTGAAAAAAAAAACAGTGAACAGTTAAATTCATCAACAGCAAAGCAGCTGAAACTGATTTAAAAAAAACCCTCTGCTACTAAACTGACCAGATCAATATCCTACAAGTGTAACTGACTTTATGCAATACTCTGATTAAAAATGGTTCCTTTAAAATCTGAGATATGCATTTTGCAGCATTCCTAAGTTCCTTGAGAGAATTGAGGCTCAAAGGAATAATTTATAAAAGCAGAAATCAGGATTTGAAAATACAGATAACACTTACTGAGTTTCTCGTAGAATGTGAGACCCTCAAACATGCGCTGGTACATCAGAGCTTGTTCTGCTGGGCCATCTGGGATCAGTTTGG